TTGAGCAGGGACGCTTCTCAAGGATACTCCTCGAGGTTAAGAGATCCTTCCCACTACAGATTCGTGGTAGGTGACTATAGTGCGCCTTTCTCTTTTTGAATTTGTAACTTTGCTTTGTAACTGTGCACAAATTCCTTAGCCATAAACCATTGACCAGGTCTGGGACTAGAACTGGATCTAGCTGCACCCAGACTCCTCTCAGAAGGAGTTTGGAAAGCAAGGGGTTCCAATCTGAACCTTGTGACCCAACGGGAGGGCGTCCTTGGTAATTCCGTGTGTATCTTGAACCTTCATGCAGTAACTAATAAGTGACCTTGCCATAGAATCTCGTGAAACCATTGTCATTACCAATAAAACCTATTCCTATCTCTTTCCCACGAGTGAAGTGCATTGTGTCACTCACGCCCACCACCACTCGTTCTGTGACAGCTCCCCACGCTTCAGACCTCCTGGGAGGCAGCAAAGCGGTGACAGAGGGAAAGGTTCTCCCAAGACGGGTGCAAACAGCTAAAAAAACATCCCCAAACCAAGAATAGCATGCATTTTCTAACTCTATTCTCTAAGATTCTCTAACTCCAGGATTGCTCACATCATTTTATACCTCATTTTAAATACTGATACAATGTGGCATTAATAGATAATGAACTTTAATTGAATTTTAACCAGCTGAATCTGTGTTTGCCTACTGTAACTTGCTTACAGATGCTTTAGTACAGATAACTTCTCTTTAGAGGAAAAAGAAAGAAAAAAAATCTTTTGGTTGTGTCGTTAAATTTACAAGGCCTTGCCCTTTCCCAGTAGCTATTGAGTTATTACAAAAGTTTTTCCTAATCTCAGTAAGCCGTAAAATTGAATTAGCTTCTAGGCAGCTGTAGTGACTTAACTTGCCTACAGTACGACAGGCTGACTTTTTCTTTACAGTTCTGCTTGTTGTTCAGCTGCCTCCAACAGAAGTCCATCTTTACCAAATTTACCATCTCCAAACCATTGCTTTTCCATTAAAGGAGACTGTTAAGATCAGGTGCCTTTTTTTTCTTATAATCTATACACCGCCCTTTTCTTAGGTCACATATTCATAAAACGAATCTGACCTTGAAAACAGATTGACATTTCACAGAAAACACCAAGCAGTAGAAAAGCAGTGTGTGCTCACAAGCTCCCTTTCCTGTATTAGCTGCTGTTTTTCACTTGCAAAGATATAAAACATACACAGCTCATATCACCTACAGGAAGCCACAAAGCCCTGCCCGTGACTTGCTCTGGAAATAGTTCACATCTCAAGTAGGGTTAACAGAGTATAGAAAACCTCAATAGGGACAAAAAAAATATTTGTAAGAACCGTGAACTAGGAAAAGATAGAAACTTTTAAATTAACTACACTAAAAAATCATAAGATACTTTAAAGAGATGTGTGTTTTTAAAGTATTCCAATATATTTCAAAATATATTGCTTTAGTTCAAAAATGCAGCATTATTTTTTTTACACTAGTCTACTAATGTCTACTAATGCCTACTTTATAGAGCAAATATTACTAAATACAAGATTTTTTTTAATGATATTCTACAATCTTGAATGCAAGTGGTTATACGTTTGGACTTAAGAACTTAGGACAGGTTGTTCTTAAGCATATAAGAAATGGTTATAAGCTCAGACTAGTTACTCCAGGCACAGCCTTCATGGGAAACATTCCCGGATCCTGTCTATGATGAAATATTCTTGGTCCGCTCACACCTACCGAATTCATCCCGCTGAACAGGTCTCCCGATCCTACGTGAGCTGTGTGCACAAAGTTTGTTGGCTCTCCGATCATGCTTCGGTCAATCCGCCGTCGTCTTTTCTGTAGGGTGAAGAAACCGTCTCATTGAGGAACATTTGAAAATAAAAATTAATAGGCATCCTAAATATAAGACATAACTAATAAACACTATGATATTTTGTACACCATAGAGTACTTTCATAGAAGTGAAAACCAGAGTCCAATCTTTCACGCAAACTGTGACATTAATTGTACTGTACTTAGTTTTTTTTACTTGCAGGTTCGGCAGCAGACCTTTAGGCCAGCACTGAGATTACTTCTAATGTTTAGGCCAACCCAATATCCATAAATAGCCTTAGTACATCCCACCAGATATTAAGCAATATCTGCAATTTCATGCAATAAATTCAGTATTTAAACATCACGTGGTAAATCAAATTTGAGGGTACTTATTTGAAAGAAGAATCAGAGAATGCGAGCTGAGCATACGAAACCACTAACTAGACTAACCACACTAACTTAGAGAATTTGTGTCACCTTGCTGTGACACCGAGGGGTCTTATCTCCTTCTGGAGATGCCCTTTGCTGATGTGCAGAACATTCCTCTGCATTTCGGCAGATTTAGTCCCAGGCGTATTCCCCCTGGAGCCTGTCTGTGCAGAAACCTTGCACTCTGCACGGTACAGCTCTGCACGTGCGAGCTGCAGCGGGTACAGCGTGCTATTAGGGCAGCATGTCCCAAAGGTCCTGCGATTCCTGCGCATTACGTCTCTCGGCAAGAATAACTCAGCCTCAGCCTTCCCAGAGCCACAACTTCCATTTGTATTAATGCAATGTAATAGCTGGCAAACGAGAAACGAGACGCAGTAAGGACTTCCCCTAATAAAAGCTGCCTCTAGCTGAACGTTGTGTCTCGAGCAGCAAGAGGGAAGAACCTCTGTCCTCAACTCCTCGGCCAGCACCCTGTGCCTACGGGGGCCAGCGCGCAGCAAGGCAGGCTGGAAGCAGACACAGCACAACGGCTCAACGGCCGCTCAAGCTCCGTGGGGAGCTTCCCATCGTGCTGACACTGCTAGGCCTCATCTTTAGAGATCTCCCCCTTGCTGAGATCTTGGCACCACCCAGGCTCGAACATGAAGATAGGTGTCTGGTGTGCAGACTCACTGCTCCTGAAACGCAGCTGCAGATGAATCTTCACGAACCAGAGCCCTCAGCTATGGGAATGAATCGCAGTCCTAGTCAGCAAGCAAGAGAAAAAGAACACTTTTAGTCCTTTCCTTTAGACCTTTTCCTTACTGCTAAAGCCCGTTTCAGCAGGCTTCAGTACGTTCCTGCATGGGTATTTAACAGCCAAAGGCGGGGAAAGGGACGGCAAAACCGGCCACCTATAGACGCAGCCAAACCAAACGACCTGACTCCACCAATAATATTGGTAAATTCTCCACCAGATTGACAAGGTAAACCAAATAACCATCCAAAAACCATTTTCATGTGGTGTGAAGGCTTTCAAGGAGGAAATGTTTATGGAAGCAAACCTAGATGTCTCTGAACAAGAAAGAATTAATATATACTTCATGAAAAGATATAAACAGCTAAAACAGAATCTATTACTGCATTCCATACATCAACATTTCAACATGAAAGTCAAACTCATATATATATATGTATACAGCAATCTTTCTTAAGTTATGCATGACACAAGCTAGTAAACAAGACAAGACTAAACTGAGGGATGAGATCTTTATGCTTACATTGGTTTGAGAACTGCTCATCTGAAGCGTTTGGGATACACAATGCGCCCATTTGCAAGGAGTACTTTAAATGCAGTTTCTGTATTTACGCAACACAACACTGTGAAACTGACTGTCTGCGTCAGAGTCCTTGTCCTACAACAGGGCAAGAATCTCTAGAGTCCCTTGCCATGGGAGCACACAATTCCATCAAAACGCTTTCATAACTGTCTTGATTGTGTTGAAATTTTGTTTATATTGTATTTTTGAGAATAACAGAAAGTCAGAGTCATTTGTGTAATCTAAATAATAAAGCCCTGGATTGTTGCTTTTAATAGTTTTGAGATAGTTTTAGGGTTGTGATTCAGTCAAAAACCATGTGCTATCTCAAAATCTGTCCCTCTTAAACCTTTGACTTAAACCTTTCTTTGGGCAACACAACCTCTTTTCCTTCTGAACTTGTTGCCAAGAACACGGGCATGTGGTTAACAGCACTGAAGTGCTGCTTTCCATGAAAGCCTAGAAATGATTCTCTTCTAACCACCAGCTGCTGATTTTTTCGCTAGTTAAAATGAACCCCTTCCCTTATCTTTACCAAGTTTCTTTACCAAAGCTATTATCCAGCTATGCCTTGGCACGTGCCCACTGATTGCCTGAAGGAACAGGGCTAAATTTAATGCTCTGCTTAATCAAGACCCCCAGCAGTTCAGGATAAAAGCAAATAGAGTGCTTTTTTTTTTTTTTTATTTTGTGCTGCAGGAACCCTTAGTTGGCATTTACATTACGTTACTAGGTTGGCTCAGGAGCACGCTCTTGAAGCGACGTGCCTGCCCCCATTCCCCATGCCTTGATTTGAAGGGCAGGGTACCTGCACTCGTGGGGCGCCTGGGCTGCGTCTCTCACAGGGGAGGCTGAAGCGGCGACGCTCGCGGCGGCTGCCGCGCTCCCCTGGC